GGGGGGGGGGGGGGGGGGGGGGGGGGAGGGTCCCACGGTTTCCTCCCCTAGATCAGCCACTGTATGATGTTCTGCTAATGAACCATAAACTCAGTTTCTCAATCAACAAACATCAAACGAATGTTTGGCAACCTTTCGTCGCTTGCGTTTGGACTACCTTGTTTTAAAATGCCTATGAAATGAAAGAATATCTCTGGAAATATTGAAGCAGTGTTCTTCAAACTTGGCATCACAAAAGAGACCAAATGACACCCATAGTGTCGTTGCCAAGTAAACTCTCTTGACTCCACTCTCTTTCTGTCAAAAAACAAATATCCTCATCTTCAACCCTTTAAAGTGGGACCGAGGGTTCGACTTGGAACAGACATGGTTCCCATATTGTCTTAACTTTCATCATTAGATTGGCTGGAGTAGACGGTCTTAGGTTAAGACAGAAACTGGAAATTTCAGTTTTAGTTAAGACAGGGCCAGCGTCAAAACTGTTGTCATGGTAACAGCACAACAGATGTCATTTTGTTTCTTTTGTGATGTACATTTCTGGTGGCAAGTGTGAAGAACACTGCTTCAATGTTTCCAGAGATATTCTTTATTCAGTGCTTATTTTACCATTTTAGTTGCAAACCCCATAACGTCATCACTTTCCTAATTTGCATAACACAAAACGTCAATATCTCTTAACACGAAAAAAGATATTCCAAAAAGGAAATCGCCATTCTTCTTTATTTTGGAAAGCCTTTCAAATAAGCAGCAATCTTGGGCACTTTAACCTCGTCCCCAGGTCGCCCCATCAAATGTGGGAAGGGTGGAAAAAGACCCTGGTCTTGGTCGTTCGATTCTGTCATTTGATTGATAAAATAATTTATGCAGTTTTAATTGTTTTTGAGCACAAAAGGGCGATGCCCTGCCAGGAAGTGACATCTAGTGCATTCACTTTAAGAATGTCTCTTAAAATGCTATGATTTTAAATTGCTAAGGGATAATCACAAAGTGTCGATAAGTGAACGGAAGTTATTGAAAACCAAATGAGCGCATAATTCCTGTTAAGTGGTCTCGGCGTTGCATTCCAACTGACCGCAACAATGAGGCTTGTTTAAGCGATTTCCGCTTTGAAGGAAATACTTTTTGAATTGCAAGAATTCTCTGTTCCCTTTCAGTCTCGGGCAGTTTTTGTCGAAAAGAATTTCCAGAGAATCTTCTTGTCAAGGCCGCTACAGCTTTAGTTCCAAGTGATGTATCCTTGTCACGAACAAAAGCCGATTGGTTTAATATGAAATTTTCAATGCCCAACTACTTCACTGCTTAACAAAAAGCGGATGTTCGATTGGCTCTCAGACTGAATTAGCGTCAGACAAGTCAAACGGAAAGAATATTACTGAAATATATTGAGGAATCCGAACCAGACACGACAAGAATGCACTTTCCAACATGATGGTGAGAAGTTTGAACTTGGCGATGGTTTGGACTGTTCTCGTTTCACTTGCAACGTCAATCACAGCTTTGTCTAAAGTTAATCCCGTAATACTCGTTTCTCTTGATGGACTTGGATGGCAGATTATGGAAGATAAACTCGCGAACACGCCAAATCTCGACTACATCACTAGAACAGGCGTCAAGTCCAAGTGTATTCGCACAGTGACTCCAAGCTTGACGTGGCCGAACCACCATACTTATATGACGGGTCTGTACCCGGAAAGCCACGGAATCGTGTCCAATGTGTTTTATGATCCACTTTACAGCGAGTGGTTTATTTACGAGAGTGATTGTTCCAGTTATGACCCGAAGTTCTACAACGATTCTGAACCGATCTGGTTGACCCTCCAAAGACAGGGAGGGGTTAGTGGGGTATATTTTTGGCCGGGTGCAGGCGGTTACGAGGATCGACCGACGTTTTTTGCTAAACCGATATGCAACGTGAACTGTCAGACAAAAGACAAAGACCTATCGGCGGCAACAAACTCGTCGTATTCCCCTCACTGCGTGTTGAATTTTTCAGAGCCATGGCATTCTAGAATTGATCAAGTTGTACAATGGCTTACTTCTGAAGATCCGCCGCAGTTTGTTGCTGTTTACTTCGAGGAGCCTGATATCAAGGGACACAAATTTGGCGTTTATTCTCAAGAATATCTGAACGAGATCGAGCGAATCGATGAGGAAATTGTGGGATATCTTTTAGACCGTTTGTCGCATTCTAACTTACTTGATGAAGTCAACTTAATGTTTGTTACTGATCACGGTATTTCTAATGCATCTGAAGGCAGAGAGATCTATCTCGACGACTACGTCGATCCCTCATTATACTTCCTGTCCCAAATCGGAACCGCAGCGCATGTCTGGCCCTTGGAGGGCAAATTTCAAGAGGTTTACGGCGCCTTAAAACGCGTCAAACACTCGTATATCAAAGTGCACAAAAAGGAGGACATCTCTGATGTCCTGCACTGGAAGAATAACCGACGAATCCCACCGATATTTGTTGATCCGGACCTAGGCTGGCAGGTGTTCCAGTCAGCGCCGGAGTTTCCAAGCACCGCATCCCTGGTTTACGGCGCACATGGCTGGTCGAGCGTACACCGTGAAATGTGGTCAATATTTTTCGCCCGAGGACCTGCATTTCGCCAAGGTGTAGAAATGGGGGAGTTTGAAACTGTTGACCTTTACCCCCTTATGTGTCAGTTGCTAGGTATAAATCCGCGTCCCAATAACGGTTCTTTGATCAACGTAAAGGGTATGCTGAAGGCAAAGCTACACAGTAGTTACAGCAGTGAAGGAATATTTTTGACTCCTTGTTGTAACTTGATGTGTCATGTTTTAACCCTCTTGATCATGGTAACAAGAATGTAGTGCTACATTCAAAGCATCCACTATTTGATCCCTAAATTTCATCCTGCTTGTCACTTGTTAACTTGTCAGTAAAAACTGCACTACAGTCCGTATTTAGCACGATTTCGGCGCGCGAGACCTGGCGTCTAAGAGGGACTAGAAAAAGACCCTGAAAAATATTTCTCACCTCACTCAATTCGTGTTTCATGTAGCGTAATCTCGAGAAACTAATGAGAAAAGAGAGTCTTGAAGTCTAATCAAGCGATATTGTAGCGAGAATCTAAAAAAGTTCTTAACTCTTAACAGTGTAATGGTTTATGCATTGGTTGACTGCTTACCAAATCACCAAATGGGATACTTACCAAATGGGATACTTGAGTTGTCACGGCAACAA